CCCTGGCGGCCACACAGGTCCACACAGACTGGCCCTGGCTGTGTCCTCACCTGCAACCCAGGCTGGATCCCCGATGGAGGCGGACCTGATTTGGGGAGGACGCCTCTGGCTCCTGGGGCCCCTACTCCTTGGGTAGGGGGCTGAGCTGGGCCCCTGGAGACGGGTGGTCCTGGGATAGGAAGCCGACTTTTAAGAGACCCACCAAATTGGAGGAGCTCCAGGATGGGGCAGCTGGCCAGGAGAGTGGCCGGGAGGGCCAGCGGCCTCCTTTGTCCACACTGGAGAGGTGGTGGGGGGGGGTCTTGGCATTGAGCTGGGGGAGCAAGAGGGTCAGCAAGGGGGGCTGTGAGGGGCAAGTGGATTTGCGGGCCTCTGGGTATGAATGTCTGTGTGTGGGGGTCATGGGTGGGCAGAAGAAATGAGAGGCGTGAGGGACGGAGCGTGGAGGAGGAGAAGGGGGCAGAGGCAAGGCTTGAGCCCAGGAGAGGCCGGTGGACTCCCACATATACCTGGGGCCCCCACCTGCCACCTGGGGCTCCCACCTGTCACCTGGGGCTCCCACCTCTCACCTGGGGCCCCTTCCTGTCACCTGGAGCCCCCACCTGCCACCTGGGGCTCCCACCTGTCACCTGGGGCTCCCACCTGTCATGTGGGGCCCCCACCTGCCACCTGGGGCTCCCACCTCTCACCTGGAGCCCCCACCTGCCACCTGGGGCTCCCACCTGTCACCTGGGGCCCCCCATTACCTGGAACCCCTTCCTATAACTTGGAGCCCTCACCTATAGCCTGGGGCCTCCTACTTGGAACTCGAGGCCCCAACCTACAACGGGGTCCCCCACCTGTAACCTGAGCCCCCAGTGTAACCTGGGGCCCCCTACTTGTAACCTGGGGTCCTCACCTTTAAGCTGGAGCCCCTCAATGGTAAGCTGAGACCCCACCTCTGTACTGGGGGGGTCCCACCTGTAGCCCAGGGTCCTTAATAAAACCTGTGGGATGGGGAGGACGAGAGAATGCAGAGAAAGGATTTTCCTAGACTACCAAAAATATCCGCAACCATCGGCTACTCCTATTACCGTTATTCCCATCCATCTGTTTACCGCCCCTGAGGTCAGCCTGCCTCTTCCGATCCAGAGCGGCATCGCTGGCTCCGAGTCTCTTCCTTCCGTGATGGTTCATAAGGAGACCGTACATGTCACCGCCATGGCCTCTTGTATCTGACGACGTATGGTGTTGCTAATCCCCATCCAGAGAAATGGGAAGGGAGAGGCCGAGACCCCTCCACTGAGGATTTCTGTTAGGCAAAGGGCAGGGGCCAGAGAGAGTGTCTCTGGAGAGGCTTAGAGCACCCCCATGGGGGTCTCAGGCCCCGTGATGCTGGGAAGGTCCCCAAAATCTGGTCCCGTGCTGGCCTGGCCTGGGTTTGATGCTTGTTATGAACACTACTGAGCAGGACAGCTGGGCAGCCCCAAGGCCCCCATCACCGGAGCAGTCGGTGCTAGAACCTCACAAGGCTCCCGGGGGCTCCCAGGCTGGGCACTTGGCTCCACCCGGGACCTGGGCACGTGGCTTCCCTTCTGCAAGCCTCAGCCCCTGGCCCCCACGAGCCCGCTCTCTGTCTGTGGATCTGCCTGTTCTGGACGTTTCACGTCAATGGGGTCACACACCGTGTGTCCTTCCGTCTCTGCTTCTCTCCCTGAGCGTCGTGTGTGCAGGTCCGTCCACGTGCAGCCGTGTCAGGGCCTCGCTCCTCTTCACGGCTGCATCACATTCCAGCGTGTGGGTGGACAATTGTGTGGATCCATTCTTCTTTCGATGCACATTTCAGTTGTCTCCACTTTCTGGCTACTATGAATCTAGTTGCTGTGAACATTTGTGTACAAGTTTTTGAGTGGAAGCGAGTTTCCATTTCTCTTGGGCATAAACCTGGGAGCAGAATTGCTGGCCGTGTGGAATCATTATGTTCAACCTTTTGAATTTTTTTCCAAAGTGGCTGCACCGTCTGTATGAGAGTTCCAGTTTCCCCACATCCTCGCCAATACTTGTTATTGCTCAGTATTTTTATTATAGCCGTCCTAGCGGTTACGAAGTGGTTAATTCTAATAACATATTTGTTTTAACCTAACATATCCGATTATATCATTGCAACACACAATCAATGTAAATTATTGAGATACTACATATATGTGTTTTTTTTCATGCTAAACCTTCAAAATCCAGTGTGTAGTTTACACTCCCAGCACATCTCAATTTGGGCAGCCACATTACAAGAGCTGAAGGGCCACATCTAGACAGTGGCTGCTGTGCTGGACAGCACAGCTCTCATTGCTGAGGATGCAGCAGTGTCCAAGACAGACCCACCCCAGCCCCAGAGACCTTCCAGTCTACTGCCAGAGACAGAAGAAAAACACATAAAGAAATATATAAACGACACAATTTCTGATGGTGACAAGTGTTCCAGAGAATGACCAGGAGGGCTTCTCGGAGGAGGCGGCATCTGAGTCGAGATTTCACCTTCAAGAACTCTTTCTGTAATGGTCACCAAACATTTCCCAAGTCCCTTCCATGTGTCCTGACCCTCAGGAGAGGGGTGTGGGCTCTGTGAAGGATAGCGGGGCCTACGTACACTAAGATTGTCAAACGCACCCCCAGATTCCAAGAAAATTGGGTGTAAGCCAGTGGTCAAAAACACGGAAGATACCAAAAGGAATTTAAGTTGGGCAGTGTGCCCTCCTCTTCTGTTTTCTGGGAGATATTGTCTAGAACAGACGTTATTCCTTTCTGAGATGTTTGATGGAAATTCACCAATGAGACATCTGGGCCCTAATTATCTTTGTAGAAAGGTTTTTCTGTACAGATTTAATTTCCTGAATAGACGTAAAACTATGCAGATGATCTATTGCTTCCTTAATTTTTTTTTTCTCCCCAAAGCCCCATTACGTAGTCGTAGATCCTGCTTCTAAGTCCTTCTAGTTCTTCTATGTGGGATGCCACCACAGCATGGCTTGATGAGCAGTGTGTAGGTTCGCACCCAGGATCCGAACTGGTGAACCCCAGGAAGCCCAAGCGGACCGGGTAAACTTAACCACCACACCACCTGGCCAGCCCTAATCTATTTCTTCTTGAGCGAGCCTTTATTTCAGGTGTTTATTTCAAGGTGTTGGTCCATTTCAACCAGGATGTATTTATTTGCATCCAGCTGTTCCTAGTACCTGAATCTTTTAACATCTGTAGGGTCTGTCGTGTTTAGTCCTTCTCTCATTTCTCACGTGTCGTCTTTTTTTTTTTTCTTGGTCCATCTGGCTAGACTTTTTCTTTTTTATCGACGTTTTTGATCTTTTCAAAGAACAATCATTGGTTTCATGGATTTTCTTTATTCTTTTCTATTCCATTTCACCGGTTTCTGCTCTGATCTTTACGATCGCCTTCTCAAAAGGAATCTGGGGCTAAACCACACGTTTTGATCAAGGCTTGCTGGCCATCTGCGAATCAAGAGCTTCACACAAGACAGGCAGTTTGTTCCGGCAAAACAATAATCTAGCGCTGAAAAGCAGAACGGCGGAAGATTCAGGGACAAGAGGTATTTTCAACTTCATCAAGCGGTATTTTGCCAATTCTTTCCGTTTTTCACCCAAAGCACTTGGCCGGCACCGCCCCGGCTCTGTTCTGAGCTTTGGCTCTTGACCTCTTCAGGATAGAGACCGTCGGGAGCACCTCTCTCCCGCTCCGGCCCCAGCGATGCCTAGTGATGGCTTTTTGCCTCGAATTGGCCACTTTGGGCTACTTTTTGACCCTTGACCTCGCCTCAGGGGGCTTCCGGGGGAGGGGTCCTGGCAGGCGCGCCCCAGTGTCCCCGATCCGCTTCCTGGCCCACGAGGACGCCGCCCACCCTGCGGTCGTTCAGAGGAGACCGTTAGCGCTCGCGACCTTCGACCCCAGCCCCAAACCCCTCCGAGGTCAACGCCGGGGCCTCACCTCCCCGTGCTCGCTTCCCGCCCCCTCCGCGTGACGGGCGCCTCCGCGGGCCAATGAACGAGCCGTATCCACCCCTAGGGCGGGGCCTCACGCCGACCAATCCCCGCTCGGGCCCCCGCCCGGGTCCAAATGGCCCAATCGGCGGCGGCGGTGGGGCGGGCTTCGGGGGCGGGGCCTGCCGGCTCAGCCAACGGGCCGGCACGTCGGCGCCGCGGGGGGCGGGCCCCGCGGCGTGCGTGCGGCGGCGCGGCGGCGCAGGGCGGGGGCGGGAGGTAAACAAGATGGCGGCGGCGTGTCGGGCGCGGAAGGGGGAGGCGGCCCGGGGCGCCCGCGAGTGAGGCGGGGGGCGGGCGGCAGCGGCGGCGGGGCGGCCGGACCGCGGCCGCCTTGCATGGGCTGGGCCCGCGCGCCGCCCCGCCTGCTCCACGCGCGCGGCGGCCGCGGCGGGGGGACGCGCCGCCCGGGCCCCGGCGGCCTCGGGCACCCCCGGCCCGGGGCCTGCGGCCTGTGCCGCCTCGGCCGCCCGGAGCCCCGCGCGCCCCCCGCGCCCCGAGCCCCGCGGCCGGCGGCGCAGAGCGAGCGCGGGTTGCCGTTGGGGGCGGGGGGCGCCCGCCGGGCCCGCGCGGCCGCTCGGGGGTCCCCGGCCGGTGTAGGGGCGCCCCAGGGCCGGCCGGAGCCGACGGAAGTTGCTCCCCGCGGCGCGAGGGCCCCCGGCCGACCCCTGGACCCCCGACGCGCGCCCGGGGCCGGCGAGAGCGCAGCGGGCCGGACGGAGGCGCACCCCGCTCGGGCCGGATAGACACCTGCCGGCGTCTGGGGCGCCCGGGACGGCGGACACCCACAGCCCCGCGCCGCGGCCGCGCCCCAGCTCGTCCGCTCCGCCTCGGGGGCCCGGGCCCGGCCGGCCGCCGCGGGGCCCCGGCCGCGCGCCCCGGCCCGCCGGTAATGGACGGCCCGGCGGAGCCCCGGCTCGGCGGCGGCCGCCGCGTGGGTCCGAGGGTCTGAAGTCCCTGGAGGATGACCTAGCACTTCAGCGCCCCGCCGGCCTCCCCAGGGCCCTCGTGGACGCGCCCGAGCGACCGGAGCTGCGAGGCCGGGCGGCAGCCGCACCGTCGGGGCCCGGGCCCCGCACCAGGCGCGCCTCGCGAACTCTCGTCTAGGACAATCGTTTCTTTTTCGAAGAAGGCTTTTTCTTTTTTCTTTTGCGTTTTTGTTGACTTTTTTTGTCTTTTCTGGAGAAGGGAATTTTGGGGAGGAAGGGGGAACAAGAGAAAGAAGCGCACTCCCCCTCCCCGACACCCCGGGACTTCAGGAAGAGGAGGAAAGCCCGGGGTCCAGGATGGATGTGGCGGACCCGCAGCAGCTGGGCATGTTCACGGAGGGCGAGCTGATGTCCGTGGGCATGGACACGTTCATCCACCGCATCGACTCCACCGAGGTCATCTACCAGCCCCGGCGCAAGCGGGCCAAGCTCATCGGCAAGTACCTGATGGGGGACCTGCTGGGCGAGGGCTCCTACGGCAAGGTGAAGGAGGTGCTGGACTCGGAGACGCTGTGCAGGCGGGCCGTCAAGATCCTCAAGAAGAAGAAGTTGCGGAGGATCCCCAACGGGGAGGCCAACGTCAAGAAGTGAGTGTGGGCTTCCTGGGCCGGGCGGCCGGGGCCTCTGCTCGCCCTCCCTCCTCCGTCTTCCTTCCTTCCTTCCTTCCTTCCTCTTCTCTCCTTTCTTTCCTCTTCCTTCCCTCCCTTTCCTCCATTCTCCGCTTCCTTAAGGATCTGAGCTCACCAGTCAGCTCCTGAGTCCTCCCTGCCGGGGAAGGTGTCTTTGGAAACCCACTGAAGTGTTTTCACAAAGTCGGGCCAGCTTGTTGGCCTTTTGGGCGTCCGTCTGTCCGTCTGTTTGGGGTCTTGGGCACCCAGGTCAAAGGCTGCCTCGGAAGCGGGGCGCCCCTCTCCCCCCTGGCCATCCCGGCTGTCCGGAGGACCTCGGTGCCGGTGGAACCAGCTGGTGTTTGGCCCTGAGAGCAGTGTTCACAGCCGGCCAGGGCCGCCGGCAGGTTTTGGGCACAGCGGGCGGCCGGCACTGGGGCCAGGCGGACGCGCTTGTTTATCCCGGCGGCGGCGGAGGGAAGCCCTGCGGTTGCCAAAAGTGATTGTTTGCACCGGCTTATCGGTCAGCAGGGGGCAACTTAGCCCTTTCTTGCCGGCCTGGGAGGTGACACTACACGCGTCCGTGACCTCAGGACCCTGGCAAACTTTTTAAACAAACTTTTTCGGGCGCCCGTCTGCCCCAGGCATCCCGGCGGGGTCAGGGGCCGCGTGCAGGAGTCGCCCCAAGGACGGGGCCAGGGGTGGGGCGAGCCCTGCCTCTGTTCCTCTTGCCAGTTTCAGGAGGGGGCCCCTTATCGCTGCCGCCCCAGGGGACGCCGCCCTGCGGCCGAGCTCCTCTCCCAGCCTCCTGTTTCCAGGAAGGGGTTTATCTAATGGGTCTGGCTGGCAGCAGGACTGACTTATGACCTTGGACGGTCCGCAGGCTCGCCAGGCCCATCCTGGGAAGTGCTGCCCGGGATCCGCTTTCACCTGCCTCCTTTCCGCCCGGCCTTCCGCCCATCTTGGCCGCTGGAGCTGGGCCGGTTCTCTCGCCCTGGGACAGCCCGGGGTGCTGACGTTGGGGATGGAGCGAGCACTGAAGCTTGGCAGAGCGGGCTTGTCTCAGTGGGCCTGGCCGGCAGGGTGGGCGGTGTTCCAGTGTGGACTCGTCAGTCTCTGTGCCCTCAGGCTGTGGACAGTGGGAGGAGGCGTGGCGGGGCGCCCCACGCCCCTCGGTTAGTTCTGTGCTGGTCTATTTCCTGTGAGGTGGAGGTTGGGTGGCAGCCACCAACACCTGGGGGTAGACTGAGGCCCAGGGACGCCTCACCAGAGTCACATCTCCACTCAGCTGCTGGCTTGTCATTAAGCCGAGCACGTGGGGTGAGGTGGCCCTCGGGCTGCCTGTTTGCCACTGCTGAGGGTGGGGGACAGTGAGCACCTGCGTCCTGGGTGCTGACCCCCGAAGCAGACCCCCCTCCCGCTCGCCAGGCCTGTCCTTGTTCTCCTGGCTCCTCCTGGGCCTCTTGTTCCCGTCTGTCCCAGGCGCAGGGTGCTGGTGTCTGCCTGTGTGACCAAGCCTTCCTGCATGGAGTCGGCCCAGGTCCATCGAGGCGTTGTGCTGCGGTGGCACCCCAGGCCCCAGCCTCTTGGGAGCAGCGCCCGAGGGAGGAGGGGTTCCCGGACTTCCGTCCACGGGCCCGGGTTCCAGCACTGATTGGTCATGCGGCTGGAGGCACCGAAGCCCAGCCTACTGGCCACCTGGAGGCTTCAGGTGTAAACCCGTCCAGGGCAGCGACTGGCGCAGCAGCGTTCAGCGGGTCCCCGGTTGCCCACAGACCCCGTGCAGTGGAGGGGCGGGGCGAGGCGCCCAGCGCCCACCTTAGCCAAGGCCTGGTGTGCACGCATGCCTGAGATGCAGTTTGGCTTGGACAAATGCACACGCCCAAGGTTAGGTTAGAGGACACTTCACCACCCTGAAGAGTCCCCTCCTGCTCCACGGGGACACGTGACCGGACCTGACTGCAGGGTCACAGAGCACTGGGTCCCAGCCCCTGGTTTCCTCAGTGGTCAGCTGAGGTCCCCAGAGCTTGTGGGGCCTCACGGCGTGCAGTGTCTGTCGAGAACTGAAGGGGAAACTGAGGCCAGGGAGGTAGCGTGGTTGGCAGGCCCCGTGCCGGATTTCATCAGCTCCCCTGGATGTGTGGGGGCTATGCCTTTCAGAGCCTCCCTGGGAGTGCAGGGCTGCCCGGCCGGCCGCCCACCTGCCCTCGGCGTCTGGCCCGAGGACCTGCTGGGGCTGTGGCCGTGGGACAGAACCCCCCTGCACCTCCTGGCTCCGGTGCTGCCCCGGGCGCCACATCGAAGTGCTCCGCCCTGGCGGCTCTGGGCCGGGGAAGGGGTGTCCCCTCCCAGGCCTGAGATTCTGGCTCCTGGGCCGGCCTGGCTGCAGCTACCCACAGGGAAAAAGGCTCCTTTGTCTGCGAGAGGCTTAATAAACTCGAGTCCAGTCGCCTCTCCATGGGCAAAGTGTCCAGAACCTTCCCCGCCAGCCTCAGGAGTCCTCCCGTGCCAAGGGTAGGCTTCTCCTGGGGCGGTGTTTGCCAGTGGTGCTCTCCTGCCGGGAGGCTGCCACAGGTCTGCGCTCGCCCCCTGCCCTGAGAAACTCCTATGTTCTCGTTGTAAAGCAAGGAAGTTCCAAAGAGCATCAAGAAGTCAGGAAGGTCACCCACAGTCTCGGTACCGACGTGTCTTGGCACATTTCCTTCAAGGCTTTTTTAATGTGTGTTGTTAACCCATCCAAGCCGTTTCTAATGAAAAACAAAACTCCCCTAAGGACCGTTCTTAGGAAATAAGTTGTATCGACCTGTTTTTCTGACAGGCAGTAGGGTCGCACGGACCCAGCCTGCCCAGGCCACAAGAGCGGGTGGTGGGGGCCCCCTGGTGCCGTCCTCTGGGGCCGGGGTGACCTGCTGCCGCGTGTCCTGCCCGCGGGGTTTGTGCAGCTGTGGGCAGCGCGGCGCTCATTCCCCTTTTTACCGCCACCCGCTGCCCGCTGGGCCCCGGAAGGCGGTGGGACATGGGTTCAGTGCCACGGGCTGCGCACAGCAGGCGTTGGGCCAGTGAGCGGAAGGCTGTGTCCTTGGGCTCCGTACCCGGGACAGCCCGAGTTTCTTACACTTCTCACAGTTCACAAGACACTGTCCTTTTGGGACTTTTTTCATTAATTGTTTAGTAACGTAAAAGTCGGTCTCTCTTCACAGCCACAGCAAACTGTGGGGCGGTCTGCGGTGCCCCTGCCCCAGGCCGGGGTGTCGACGCATTGCTGCCGGGCGTGGCCCGCCCTGTGCCCATCGGTGCCATGTCGTGTGACCAGGGCGAGGCGTTTGAAGGGTGTGTCGGCAGAAGTGGAGTTTCTGGGTCAGAGGGAGCGAGCGGGCGTTTGATAAGCTGTGTTGAGCCCGCGGTCCCCACGCCTGTCCGGCCCATGCCTCATCACAGGTCTTGTCCTGGGTTGAGAGTCCTTTCTGGCATGTGCCCGCTGTCCATGTTTGGGAGGCGACATAGGGGACATGCTGGGCCATACGGGCTACTCCCTTCGCCTGGGCGTCCCACGGCCCCCAGGAGCGCTGGCCGTCAGCCCCTCTGTGCTGCCGGGCCCTGGGCAGCGGCGGCGGTTCTGACGGGCTCTGGTCCCCAGGCTGGGCTTGGCAAGGCTGGGCGGCCCCGCGGTGATTGGCGGCTTCTTGGACCTGGATGGTGGATGGTTGGGATTTTCACAGTGTCCTGGACTTTGTCGGCTCTTGTTCCCGTCCCAAGCGGCCTCCACAAGGTCCCGGCCTTTGCGGGGCACCTGCCCTCCTTGGTGCTGGAAGGATTCTGCCATGAGCCCAGGCTGGCCGGCCACCAGGGGTGGTGGCAGGAGGGTGAGGTTTGTCCCCGCGGCTTGCCTGCACCGTGCGTCCTGGTGGCGGCCCTGGCAGAGGGCTGAGTGTGAGAGGCGGTGGGAGCACAGGGACGCGCAGGCTCCTCGCCTGTGAGTGTGTCAGAATCACGACCGAAGGGCCTTCGTCCCAAGTGCAGCACGCGGCTCAGCTGGAGTGGATTCTTTCAGCAGCTTTATTGAAATGTAATTTACGTAAAATCCCGGTATTAATGTGTAATTCAGTGAGATTTAATAGTGTCACACATCGTGAGAACTTCCCCATGCCTATCTCCAGAACATCCCATCACCCCAAAAGCAATCCTGTCCTGTCAGCATCACCCCCACCCCCTCCCCAGCCCCTGGCCCCCACGAGCCCACTCTCTGTCTGTGGATCTGCCTGTTCTGGACGTTTCACGTCAATGGGATCACACACCGTGTGTCCTTCTGTGTCTGCTTCTCTCCCTGAGTGTCGTGTGTTTGGGTCCGTCCCCGTGTAGCCGTGTCAGGCCTCGCTCTTCTTCACGGCTGCGTCGTATTCCAGTGTGTGGGTGGACACGTGTGTTTGTCCATTCACCCATGGGTGGATACTCGGGCTGTGTCCACCTAACGCCTGTTTGGAACTGTGCTGCTGGGTACGCGGGCGTGCAAGTGTTGGTGTTGAACTACGCCCTTAGTGACTTTCCCTTCGTCTTAGTCTCCTGTCTGGGCCTCTGGGGCCCTGGCCATGTTGAGCTTTGTCAGCAGAGGGGTTGAGCGGAAGGGGATCTTGCTCGCTGTCCCTCTCCCAGAGCCGCCGTCGGCCCCTGGCTGCCCCTCAGGAGCCTGCGTCCGGGGCAGGGGTCCCCGTCTCCCCCAGTCTGTCCCCGTGTGACCGTGGTGCTCCACTGGCTTTCTGGCTCTGGCTGTTCCGTTTCTCTTCTGGTTAATCAACCAGTCGGCTGAGCGTCCCCTCTGCTTGGGCAGCGCTCGCCCCGGAAGGCGCAGCCTCCACGCCGGCTTCCTGCATCTGGGGCCCCAGCTCCTTCCTTTGCCCGAAGCACTGGTTTCCTGTTCGTTTCCTGGCCGCAGACATAACTTGCAGGAGACACAGAAAGTGCAGAGAAGGTGACAGAAACCCCCCGGCTGGCTCGGGGCAGCGTGTCGGCATGTCATCCCGGGTGCAGGGCGTGTGGAGCGCGACTCCAGTTGCCTGTCTCCACCGCCGTCTGCACAGCTGACTCTCTGCACGGTCCCCTGCCCGTCTCATAGCGCTTGACATCGTGGCCGTTCTTTCCTGGGTGAGTAGCGTGGCTTCTGTGGTTCTGGGGTGCTTCGGTCCCGGGTGGTTGAACACAGGAAAGAACGGTCAGGCTCGCCCCGTGGGTGCGCCTCCCTAGTGGCAGTCACAGCGGGGACCTCTTTTTAATGCATCCTTTGTTGATGTCACACTGGAGCGTGGAGCTGTCTGCTCGCTGGGAAAGGGCGCTGTCGACTGCTGCCAGGTGGCGTGAGGGTGCTGGCTGCTCTGGCTGGGACAGCACATCTGTTGGTGGGCTCGGCCGACGGCCATGGGCAGACGAGGCTCAGCCCAGTTATCTGGGGACATAGGAGTGCAGGGCCGTGGGGCCGTCCTCTTGCCAGTGAAGACCTGAGGTGAGAGCCCCCAGACTCCTCCGCCTGCGACAGGGGTCCCGACTCCCAGAGCAGCCACGTGGTTTTGTTGGTGGTCCGTGTCGGAGTTCAGAGACATGTCTCCAGGCTTAGCCGGTCAGAGGCCCCCCGCTGAGGTGGCCTCGAGTTGGCTGGACGTGTGAAGGGGCTCCCTGTCTCTGCACACGGGTGCCTTGTTGTTGCATTGAAAGTCCCTGGAGTGGTCTCGTGGGATGAAGAGAGACAGTGCCCGGCGGGTTTCCAGGGCTGGGAAGGTGTGCCGGCCGGTTGGGGAGCGCTCGGTTCATGGAGCTGCCGTTGGTCAACCTGACGTGTGGGAGAGTCTGGTTGCCATGCCGGTCTCTGTGCCGACTAGTCTTACTCCCGGGTGCGGTCCCAGGAAGCCAGAGCTTGGGGGTGGGGCTCTGTGGCCGACCCCTCCGTCCCCTGGGCATGCCGGGCTAGCTGATTGAGCTCGCGTCCTGCCTGGATGCCCTTCTCTGGGCTTGTCTCACTCCTGTGCCTTCACGAAAACCGCCCTGGCTGCAGACCCTGTGGCAGGCGCCTGTGCAGCTGCCTCCCGGCCCTAGCCGCTGGCCCCACGCTGGCCAGGCACTTGGCGGGTGCTTACCTGCCTGGGTGGAGGGAAGGTGCCAGACAGTGGTCTCTGAGGGAAGTTCTGCACCCGTCCCTGGGACACCTGGCCCTGGGACACCTGTGAGGAGTTGCTTTGCACCTGCTTCTGGGGCATCTGTACCTGGGACACCTGCACTGGGACACCTTAGAGGAGCTGGCTCTGCTCCTGCACCTGAGGCATCTGTACCTGGGACACCTGCACTGGGACACCTGGCCCTGGGACACCTGTGAGGAGTTGCTTTGCACCTGCTTCTGGGGCGTCTGTACCTGGAACTCCCACACCGGAGACACCTGTGAGGAGCTGGCTCTGCTCCTGCCCCTGGGACACGTGCACGTGAGACACCTACACCTGAGACACCTTAGAGGAGCTGGCTCTGCTCCTGCACCTGAGGCATCTGCACCTGGGACACCTGAGAGGAGCCGGCTCCACTCCTCCACCTGGGACACCTGCACTGGCACACCTGTGAGGAGCCGGCTCTGCACCTGCACTCGAACACCTGTGAGGAGCCAGCTCCACTCCCGGAAAGGTCCTTCACATGTGTGAGCGAGTGCTGGGACCTGGGGACCAGCACTGGGGTGGAGCTGGCGAGGTCCAGGGGGGACCTGCCAGGGGTCGGGAGGGGCTCAGAGGCAAAGAGGGTGGACATTCCGATCCTTTACAACACAGTCTCACCTGAGCGGGCCTGCCCCCTGGGGACACCAGGCAACGCCTGGGGACATCTGTGGTTGTCACACTGGGGATGGTCCTGGCATCGAGTAGGGGTGGGAGTCAGGGATGCTGCTCAACCCCCCACAGCGCCCAGGACCGCCCCCCACAGAGAGAGGCCTGGTTCCAGTGTCAGCAGTGCCGAGGGGGAGAGACTCTGCATTAAATGATTAGAGGAAAAATTGAGTCGGACCCCTGCTCGCAGTGGACACCAGAATAAACCCCCGATAGTCAGATAGCATAAAGTAGGCTACCCCCAGCATCTCTGAGCCCCTCCTCTCTGCCTCCCAATCAGCGAGTGGATTTGCATGTGGGCAGCATCCTGGGACCTCAGTGGCTAGGGGTCAAGGAGAACAATGAAATGGTGGGAAAGTCATTGGCAGATCCCTGCTGTGCTGTGGGGCCCTCTGGGGGGCGGGGCGGGGCGTCAGCGGGCTAGTGGGGAAGCAGCTGAGGGCTGGGCCTCGTCCCCGAGTGGGGGCCTTCTCTGCTCTGGGTCTTGGGTGTGGGGGCTACACAGGAATGCAGTGCTGGGGGCCGCTCCTCTCAGAGGCTGTGTCGGCGCCGGGCCGGGATGCTGCGTGGCAGCAGCCCTACCTGGTCCTGGGCGTCATGGCCTGTGGAGGCGGCCCCTGGGAGGGTGGGCGCTGTGGGGGGCACAGGATTCACGCACTGGGGAGGGGGCAGGAAGGGCTTTTTGGAAGAGGCGGCCTTCACACATAGCTCGGACAGTAAGAGGAATGGGACCCGAGTCTGAGGGGCCAGGGGCTGAGGGTCCCCTCCTCTGCCCGGCTGTTCCTGTGTTTCGTGCTGGGCTTCTGGTGAGGACTGTCGAAAGGTCTCTTTTGAGATGTTGTTCACGTGCCGTACAGTTCAGCCTGACGTACATTCATGTTGTGCAACCAGCATTGCTGTGCAGTTCCAGAACGTCCCATCACCCCAAAAGCAGCCCCATCCCCGTCAGCATCACCCCCACCCCCTCCCCAGCGTCTGGCACCCGTGAGCCCGCTCTCTGGATCGGCCTGTTCGGGACGTTTCACATCAATGGGGTCACACACTGTGTGTCCTTCTGTGTCTGCTTCTCTCCCTGAGCGTCGTGTGTTCAAAGTTGTCCGTCCACGTGCACCCGTGTCAGGGCCTCGCCCCTTTCACGGCTGCGTAATAGTGCAGCGTGTGGGTGGACACGTCATGTTTCTACTTCCACTATTGATGGACACTTGGGCTGTTTCCCCTTGGGGCTTCCGTGAGCGTGCACGTACAGGTGTCTGTGGGCGTGTTTCACAGTTCTCCCCGTGCGCACGTGGACAGAATTGCTGGGTCAGCTGGTAACTGTTCGGTGTCCTCAGGAGCTGCTGACTGGAGGGCCCCTCTCCCGCGTGGGCTGTTTGGAGAGCGAGAGCATTGGAAGGCCGTCTGCAGAGTGGCAGCGCTGGGCTGACCCTTTTCCTAGGCCACGGGCTGCATCAGGGCCAGGTGGACGGGTGTCCCGGTGGCCATTCTGGTGGGGCCGGTAGGGCCGCTTTCTCCCTGGGCTGTTCCCGGAGCAGCTGTCCATCCCGCAGGGCCCGGGGTGCTGGGGACAGGAAGGGAGCCCTTGGAGACGCTCCGGCCGTGGTGCACTGCCAGGGAGGGATATGGGAGGCTGGGGGGATGCGCGGCCTGGCCTTGCTGTGTGACCAGCCCCGCCTCCCACACACGGTGGACGCTCCCACTGCTGTCCCGGTGCTGCTGTCGCCGTGGTCTCTCATGAAACAACACCTTTCACGCTCAGTGAAGATGAGGACAGAGCGTCGGGTCACCATGTCCTCATCCGAGCCCCTCAGCTTGGGGAGCACCTGGTGCTGTCACTCGTGGACCGGCGCATGCAGAAAGGCCAGCAGCGCAGCCTCCCAGCCCTCCTGGTGCCCACCCGCCGCCGAGCCTGCGGGTTTTGTCACCAGGTAGAGGGCGCGGCTGTGCCCCGGCGGGGTCGGCTGACACTCTGTCCTCTCTGCAGGGAGATCCAGCTGCTGAGGAGGTTACGGCACAGGAACGTCATCCAGCTGGTGGACGTGCTGTACAACGAAGAGAAGCAGAAGATATATCCTCTCGGGGCCGGGCGTGCTCGGGTGGCTGAGTGCCCGCCCTGCGCTCGGGGCGGGGCCGCTGCCCTGACCTGACCCAGCGGGCGCTCCTGGCGGCAGACAGCAACCGGGGCCAGCGCCACTTGTGGGCCGTCAGTGGGGCAGCCCGGTGGGCCCTTCCTGGCGTGGGTGGTCCGCCACAGTTGGCTTGTCCCAGCCGCTGCCTGCGGGTATGGCCACGAACCACCCACGTGTGTTTTTCCAGTTAGTCCAGAGTTAACCCACGGGCCCTCATGTCCCCCGACCTGCTCTTGTGTGTGTGCTGGACCTCCTGGCGCCCGGTGCCCTGGAGTGGGGGTCTGGGGCTGGAAGAAAGACTGCCCCGGCCTTGGGCTGGGTGGCCCTGTGTTTGGGGGGCTGCATGGTGGGCGTGCTCCCTGCCTTTGGTGTTGAGGCCTTTCCTGTCGTGGTGGCACCTGGTGGGTGGGAAGCGTGTCATTCTGCAGAATGTCACGTCGGGAGTGTCCTTGGCTGAGCCCTTCATTGCTGGGGACAGGCGCTGTCTGGGGGCGCGGCCCTGGCTGGCTCCGGCTCCAGGAAGCGGGTGGGGGCCCCGGGTCCCGTCGAGGGGCCAGTGTCCTTCTGCAGAGGTACCTGTCCGTGACCTGCTGGGCAGAGTCAAGGGGTCCCAGCACAAGGCTCCTCTCCACGTGGGTCTTGGGGCCGCCCCCCTTCCTGGGCCTCCTCCCCACCGTTCTGCCCGTGCTGGCTTCCTTAGCGTGCCACGTATATGGTGATGGAGTACTGCGTGTGCGGCATGCAGGAGATGCTGGACAGCGTGCCCGAGCGGCGCTTCCCCACGTGCCAGGCCCACGGGTGAGCGCACCGCCGGCCGGCCTGCCCCTCCCTCCTGCCGCCCCCACAAGCCCCAGGCTTCCAGGACCCAGTCCCCTGATGGGCAGACAGCTATTTCTGATTATCAGCAAAAGGAAAGCTCCAGTGTGTTTTCAAACTGCGAGCTCTGGGGCCTGGTTTGCGGAAGCCCTGGCCGACAGCCCCGGCAGCTACTCTCTGCACACCTTCCTGCCCCAGTGTGCCCACTGCCCTCAGCTTTGGGACCTCCTGGTCCGTGGGAAGCCCCTGCAGGCTCACTGGCCCTCCTGGGAAGTCACAGCCCCTTCCCTTTGCTGCAGCACCAGCTGGCCTGTGGCATGAGGGGAAGGGAGGCTCCATGGCTGGGTCCAGGCCAGAGTGATCGGAGGGGGCAGCATATCCCTTGGGCTGATGAGGGGTGCTAAGGAGGGCTGCCCTGGCTGGGGAGGCAGCTTGGGGCCAGGGCGCTCCTTTGCCCTCCCAGGTGGCTAGGTGGGAGTGACCCAGCCCTCGTGGGCCCAGGAGCAGCTCTGCCTGACCAGTGGCCCCTCTGGTCCCCTGATGGGCTGCCTGTCCTGTCATGTCTATTTGCCCGGCTCTGACGGCTCCTGGGCTGTGGCCTCCTGTGCCTAGTTCTGCTGGGTTACCCCTGGCAGCCTTGGTGCCGAGGGGGACCCGACAGACGCCGTGCCTGCAGGTACTTCTGCCAGCTTGTGGATGGCCTGGAGTACCTGCACAGCCAGGGCATTGTGCACAAGGACATCAAGCCGGGCAACCTGCTGCTCACCACCAGCGGCACGCTCAAGATCTCCGACCTGGGCGTGGCCGAGGTAGGTGCCCGGCCCTTGGGCCCTGGTGGGGGGGGTTGTCCCCAAGGCCTCGCCCTGAGGGCCGCCTGGCACCGCTGCAGGCCCTGCACCCGTTTGCTGAGGACGACACCTGCCGGACGAGCCAGGGCTCCCCGGCATTCCAGCCGCCCGAGATCGCCAATGGCCTGGACACCTTCTCTGGCTTCAAGGTGGACATCTGGTCAGCTGGGGTCACGCTGTAAGTGCCTAGTCCCCTGCTCTGCCCGAGAAGGCCTCTCCTTTGCCCAACATGGCCCCGCACCCTGCCCCTCCCAGCAGGTCCCCAGACCTGCCCCTGCCCCCCAGCGCCTCTGGGCGGCCGGAGCGTGTGAGAGGCCCTGGAACCAGGGTTAGGAACCCCTGTGGGTAGGAGTGGAGGGGCTGCCTTCTGGGTCCTGGGGTCAAGACCCATGGGGACGCACAGCCCACCCTAGTTGTCCTGCCTTCGTTCTCAATGGTTTGCACACGGGCCTCATTCATCGTTTTGAGGCGAGTGTTTCTGTCCCAATGCTTTATGCTAAGAATTCCCAAACACGGCAAGTTGAGTGTTGTTGGCCAGCTGCCATGTACCCTCCCCCCCAATTCTGCCACATCCTTCTATCCGTCCGTCTGTCCACGGTCACTTCCCCGAGCACTTGAGCATGAGCAGCTTTGAGTGGGCTCAGTGTGCTCCGAGACCCGCATTACTCCTGAGGTTAGGCTGACGCTGCAGAGCTGGGTAGCGCAGGCCCCATCAGTCCAGAACCTTCCGTCCTGCCCCCGTGCCAGGGCAGCCACCGGCTGGGTCGTCTCATTTCATTTTACTGAGAGAGAATTCACGTACTATAACCCGCCCTCTAACACGTACCGTCCAGGGGCTTTCAGTATTCTGGAGTGGTGTAGACACTGCCCCACCTGTTCCGGAACGAGCCCGCCCCCCGACACGAGCCTCACGGGTTAGGGTGGCTAAGGCTGGTTCTAGGCCGGGGCTGCGGGAGAAGCCCCCACCGACCACTCTCTCTCCTCGCCCGGGCGAAGCTACAACATCACGACGGGCCTGTACCCGTTCGAAGGGGACAACATCTACAAGTTGTTTGAGAACATCGGGAAGGGGGACTACACCATCCCGGGCGACTGCGGCCCTCCGCTCTCGGACCTGCTGAGAGGTGAGGCCCTCAGACACGACCGCCATGCCCTGGGGGTGGTGGGGGGTGGCTGCCAGTGAGTGATGGGCGTCCTGCGGTTTTTCTGCCAATCACTGGCCTCTCGAGAGCTGGGTCTCCTCAGTGCAGCCCCCGTCCCTCTGGTGTGTCCCTGCTCTGCAGGGGTGGGGAGCAGCTGTGGAGGGCCAACCCCACGGGGCTGAGTCGGGAAAGGGCTCGCTGGCCCCCTTGGGCTCCAACGCTTACTTTGGACCTTTGTTCCACCTTGTCTGACCCCACTTCCCCCGGAGGGAAACAGCAGCCTGGACCCCAGCCCACCTGCTGGGTCAAGGTTTCCTGCTGCCATGGGTCTGGTCCCACAGGTCTCTTTCTGCTGCGTTTCCTGGGCTGTGCAGCAGGTGGCACTGTCTGTCCATGCCAATGGTCTTTCTAGGTGTGGCTAGTCCAGGCTTGGGGCCTGCCCAGGTGGGGCCCATCCCAGCTGGGGCCTGTCCAGATGCGCCCTGTCCAGGTGGGGCCTCTCCAGGTTTGCACCAGGCAGTGCTCAGCATTTGGGCTCATGTAACTGGCAGCTGAAGAAGTGGGTTCCTGGTCCCAAGTAGCTGCAGACACATCTCAGTTTCCTGATAACAAGTCAAGCTGGTCTCACGTTTGAGTTGAAATTCAGTGAAATAAAGCTACAGTTGAGCTCATCTCCAGTGCTCGGCGGCCCGTGTGGCCCAGTCCACTGAGCGAGTACCTCCACCTCCTCCTCGCCTGGGCCTGCGTTGGTAGCTGCCCCGGGACCCTCAAGACAGGTAGCCGGGCGCTGGGCAGGCAGCCTGGTTATTCTTGGAGCGTGGGAAGCAGCCCGGCCTGTTTCCCCGGGAGCTGCGGCCCAGCCAGCTCCCTCAGACCGGCCTTCTCCCTGTCCCGACTGGACAGGACCCTCGTGCTCGGGGGGGCTTGGAGCCTCCCCCGCCCCCTGCCCCTGAGGGCTGTCCGTTCGCGGGTCTCGCTTTGCAGGGTGGTGACAGAGGCCGTGCTGGGCTCTTCGCCCCTCCAGGCCCTGGGTGGTTGGCGTTCTTCTAAGTGAAGCTGTCTTTACTCACGTCTGAGACGAGGGTCATCACAGCCCCTGCTGTCGTTGAGCCTTGAGTTGGCCCCACATGGGGCTGAGGGACGGCCAAGGGCGTCCCTGTATCTGTCCTCAGATACGGTGGGGCAAGTCCTCGCTTCCTCTCGACATTTCCCTGAGGCCGAGCTGGCTGGTCTGGTGGTCTCGACTCCCCCGGGCAGCAGTGGGGTCTGCCTCAGGCCTCTGCGCAGCCAGTGCTGCGTGCAGGCTCTTCCTCGGCCAGGGTGGGTGGGCCGCCTCCCGAGCCGCCTTGGCATTGCCGGCCTGAGGACTTGGCACTCAGAGCCGGGGGCCCCTCCCCGCCCCTCGCAGCGAGGCCACGGCCCCGATCTTTCCTCCCCTCCTGCACCCCTCAGACCTTCTGCCCTTTGAGCCCAGATCCCAAAATTGCTGCTGGCTTCCTGGGAACAAAGCCGCCTTCCCGCACGCAGTATTCAGCGCTCCAGGAGTTGCAGCGCCCTCTCCTCCGCGTGACGTGTGAGGCATGGCTGGCAGCTGCTCTGCCTGCCCACAGGAGGGGGTCGGAGCCGGGAGTGCGGGCTCCAGGGTGCCTCGCAGCCCTGCGTGTGGGCTTGCGCCTCAGGCCAGTGCCGCCCCAGCCAGCCTGGGGGGACTCGCCCCTCCGAGCGTCCTGGGGGACCTGCCCCGGTGCTGGGTGAGGACCCTTGCAGGAGTACCCGCAGCATCACCCTGGCAGCCTCTGATTCTCTCCTGCTGCCGTCTCGGGCCTCAGGGTCCTGGCCGGAATCACCAGGCGCCCGCAGAGGCCCCACGAGCTTCATCTCCCTGGGGCGTGTGCACAGTGTGGCGTCCTTGGGTGGGAATAGTCTGTCCTCCAGCGTCGTCCCAGGCTTTGTTGTGTCCCACCATGAGGCTGCATGCACCTTGGGGCCTGGACGGCCCCTCGAGTGGTGACAGAGCCGTGGGCCCATGTGCCCTGTGTTCACACACCCACAGGCTCAGCGTCTTTGCCCTCGCACCCCAGCACTCCGGCCAGCCTTTCTTGTAGAGGCCAGGCCCTGGGTGGGGGCCCCTCAGAGCACTCTGAGCTCGGGGTTCTGGTCATATGTACCGGTCCCTGCTCCCTGGGGTCCTCTGGGCACAGGCGGGCTGGGGCTGTCTGCCTGGTGCTGACCCGCCCCTCCCCGTGCCGGTCTCCCCATCAGGGATGCTGGAGTACGAGCCGGCCAAGAGGTTCTCCATACAGCAGATCCGGCAGCACAGGTGAGGGGTGCCCGTCCCAGCACAGGAGGGGCCGGTGCAGGGGCCAGCTCAGCGCTGGCCACACTCCCCTATGGGGGCCTGGACAGCCTGGCAGGCCGTGGCAGTGGGAGCGGGACGGTCTGGGGTGCAGGGCCTGTGCTGTCTCATCTCTGCGCCTCCCTCCCTGCCTGCGCCCGTTCCGCAGCAGGAAGATGGTTGGGCCCTGGGGTCCGCAGGCGCCCCAGTCCAGAGGACGGGGCCCAGGTAGGGGGCTGGGTGAGTCCCTGGCCGGCCTGACTTGCTGATTCTGCAGCTGGTTCCGGAAGAAGCACCCACCAGCTGAGGAGCCAGTGCCCATCCCGCCCAGCGCGGACTGCAAGGACCGCTGGCGCGGCATGACGGTGGTGCCGTACTTGGAGGACCTGCACGGCTGCGCTGCCGACGCGGACGAGGACCTCTTTGACGTCGAGGATGACATCATCTACACTCAGGACTTCACGGTGCCCGGTGAGTCAGCGGCTTTGCACCCCGGCCTCGATGTCCACCTGCGGTGGTGGCAAAGCCTACATCCCTGACGTCCCCGAGCCCTTAGGGCAGGTCCGTTCACACCAGTGTCAACCCCGGGCCCAACCCTGACAACAAGGGGCTGCCGAGGGGGCACGGTTGGCCAGGGGCAGGGCTGGCACCCCCTCCCCCACAGGCGCAGGTGGGGACCTGGAGGGTGGAGGCCGCCCGGGGCTGGCCCTTGCGTCCTGGGGAGTGCGCCCATGTCCCACGCGTGGTGTGAGATGGGGGCGGCCCCCTGATGGCTCTGAGGGTCCGGTGGCCCTCGCGGTGGCGGCTGCCCGCCCTGACACCCTGGCCTTGCTTCCCCAGGTGGCGAGGAGGCGTCTGAGGCAGGGCTTAGAGAGGAGGCGGGCGCATGGAAGAGCCCGTGCTCAGAACTTTCTGGAGAGGAGGCTGAGGCCAGGGGCGTGGAGGAGCTCGAGGCTGTAGTATATAGCTCCCTGCCCGCTCTGCCTCGCCCTTGAGGCCCGCTGGCGCCTCCGCAGGCCTCCCCCTGCCCCACGCCCTGCCCCGAGGCGTGGTGGTTCCTCTGTTCTGGGGCTGGCCCAGCGTCATAAAGGTCTGCCCCGCGAGTGTGTGGTGACGCTTCCTCTGCTTCCCTGCTCGTGGCGGCTGCAGGCTCCTGCTGTGGGAAGGGGTGGTGTGTGGGCTGTCCCACGGGCAGTGGGCCCCTGAGCCACGACACTGGGCACACAGCTGTCTGTGGCAGATGCCAGCGTCTCCGCATCCCACTCTGTGGGGGCACGCTCAGGGTCTGTGGCTCAATCATAGTCGGCTGCAGGGTCACCTGGGAGCTGGTGTCCCGGGCCCAGAGTCACTATGGCCACAGTCCAGTCGTGGGTTCAAGGCCTCCTGGAGCCTCTGTCCCCTCCACAGAGCAGGAATGAGGCATCCTGTCTTTCAGAAGCACGGGGGCTCTGCCACAGGTGCTGGTGTGACTGTCGCTGGCAGGGGGGCTGCTGTCCTGGCAAGGCCAAGCGAGGACCCTACTGGGTCCCCAGGGCCTCGCCAGCCACCGATTGCACGCCGTCCCTGGCTCACGGGCGTCCCTCGGCCCGTGAGAGGCCAGGGCTGCCGTTGTTGTAGCCCCGTGATGGAGGGCTCACCTGAGAGGGCTCTCCGGGTCTGAGCCACATTTCCCAGCTGGGAACGTCCCCTGTGTCAGAAGTAGGACAGTCCCACTGCGAGGTCAGGCAGCCGTGTTTCTAACCTGCACGCAGGTCGGCCCGGGCCATGGTGGGGCCTGGACCTTCACTCTGGTCTCCGCTGTGTGGGCACGCAGAGGCTCTCAGCTGCTCGCCCCCACCGTCCCCACCAGGGTCCTGCCGCCACCCCCGAGAGCTGGGCCTGGGCCGGGGTGAGCGTGGTCGGTGGCCAACAGCCCCGAGCCTTGGGGGCGAGTGGGGCAGACCCGTGCCAATGGCTGCCCTCTCCTGCACTGTCTGCTGAGGGCAGCTGGGCCCCATGCCCTCCCGCTTCAGAGCAGGGCGCCGACCCGCTGCGCGTTCACTCCATTGGGAGCCCTGAGCAACGCTTCTTGTGTGCATGCGGGCAGGCTCGCGGCAAGTTCAAGAAGCTGCCGAGGCGGGCACTTGACACCCTGGGTGCAGCGAGGGTCTTGAGTCACAGAGATGGGCTGGAGGCGGTGGCCATGCTCCCTGCACCCCTCCCCGCCCCTCAGAGGGGCCACAGAGCTTGGCAGGCGTGCAGTCTTGGCCCGAGGCCCTGAGATGCCAGTGAGCACAGGCAGCCGGCCCAGGACGGGGCACAGTGGGCCCCAGGCGCCGGTCTCTTCGTCCCTTGCCCGTGTGGGAGCCGAGCTGGGCTTTTCGGGAGACTCGAGTCTCACACCCTGGCCCCAGCCCAGCCCTGCCTGCATCCCATGGGGCCCAATGAGGTCAGGCCTCTGCACAGGTGAGAAGCTGGGGCTCAGGGCGCCCCGGGACCCTGGTCCTTCACCGTGTGGTGGGCGGAGGGTGAGCAGGGCAGCCCAGGCCCCTGATGCAGACCCCAGCTCACCCTGACAGACAGGCAGCATGGGCTGGGCCCCCGCCCTGGCTGGCCAGCTCTGCCTCTCCCTGTGAGGGCCCTGCAGACAGGCCCTGGGGGGGTGGACAGGTGGTGGCGGAGCCCCAGGAGCAGGGCGGCCTGGGGGCGTTGGGCTCAGGCCTGGGGTCAGCCCGCTTGCCCTCTCCCTCCTAGGACAGGTCCCAGAGGAGGAGACCGGTCAGAATGGACAGAGCCGGGGCCTGCCCAAGGCCCTGTGCATGAACGGCACGGAGTCGGCCCAGCTGAGCACCAAATCGAAGGCGGAGCGCCGCGCCAGTGCTGCCTCCAACCCTGCCCGCAAGGCTTGCTCTGCCAGCAGCAAGATCCGCCGGCTGTCGGCCTGCAAGCAGCAGTGAGTGCGGCTGTGCGCCCGCAGGTGAGATGCCGCGGGGCTGGTGGGAAGGGCTGCCCGCCACAGCCGGGTCTGTGCTCGCTGCCGCCGGGGTCTGGGTTAAGAGTGGAGGAGGTCACTTTCTGTAGGACACTGGCCACTCGGCCAGAGGGCGGGGCCCCTCACACCATCAGCCTGTCCTGCAGAACCGAGGGGCTCACCCTCCCCAGCTCAGGGCAGCTTCAGGGTGGGATGGTGCTGGACGGGGGTGGAGGCAGTGGTGATGGAAGCGGGAGGCGAGGAGGCCGGAAGGGCTGGGCTGGGCTGGGGGGTGGGGGAGGGGGGGCGGTGTCCTCCCACCTCTGCCTGCCGCTGTGCAGGAGAGGGAATTGGGCCCCAGAGCGTCTGGAGGGCCTGAGGCTGCCGCCCTGCCCGCCGCATCCCCACGCCTGGAGCAGCCCCTAGGCGCCCGCCGCGCTGAGCTTGGAGGGAGGCCTCTGCTGGCCGCGGGAGGGAGACCGACAGGGTGGCCTTCCCTGGCCTCTCGGGATCCTCTACAGCCCTTCGTGACTGGGCCTCAGTTCCCTGTGCGACTCGTGGGCCCCAGGGTGAGGCCTGCCACCCAGGGATGCAGAGCGCGTTGCCAGCGCAGGAGTGACCCCCTTTCTGTCCCCACCTGCAGCCTGTCTCCAGGAGCCCCAGCCAGGTGCCAAGGCCCAGGTCCTCCTCAGTCTTCCCGCCAGCTGCTGGCCCGCCGCCTAGGAAGGCCGTCATGCCCTCCCTGGGGACCACCTCGGGAATCCAGGGGTCCTGGAGGGCGGCGCTGGGGGACAGCAGGGACTGGGGTCTGGCCCTCCCTCGCAGCCAATGGACACGGCCCCCGTTGACTTTGCAATCCTGTGCTGAGCCCCTCCCCCGGCCGGGAGGAGGGTGAGGGCCCGGCGGGGGCCTGGAAGCCTCGCCACGCACTTTACGTCCAGACTACTGGTTCCCGCCGCCCCCCTTCTCCGAGGGGCCACGGAGTGCCTCGGGCCGAGTGATGTGTTCTGACGCACCCAGCCCCGCCGGAGCCAGGCAAAGAGCAGGCTTGTCCACCGGGATGCATGCCCAGCGCCCGGGGAGCCAGCGGCCACCTCGTTTTCGTTTGGTTCCTTTTTCCTTTTTTTTTTCTTTTTTAAGAAAAAATAAAACAGGTGGATTTGAGTTGTGGTTGTGAGGGGTATTTGGGAATCGCCGGGTGGCAGGGCGCGCCGTCAGGCGGGCGCTGAGTCTGCGCCTGGGGGACCCTGTGACCCACAGCCCGGCTGGCCGCGGCCTGCACGCTTGGCCGGTGGCGCGGTGGCAGCTGGGCCTCCGCCGCGGGGCTGCCTTTGGCCACGCCCGGCCTGCTGCCCTCTCGGGCGACCCGGCCCCCCAAAGCTCCGCCCCAGGGCCTGCCGGCAGGACCCCGGCCCTCTTCCCCCGAGGCTGCGCGCTCCCGGGTCCCCAGAGAAGAGCCGGAGCGAGCCAGCGTGCGCAGTGACATTTATAACCAACCAGAGAACGGGACACGACGGACGGACAGACGGCGCGGAGCTCGGGCGGGCGGGGCCGCCCCATCTTTTGGCAATAAATAAAGCTTGGGAAACTTGAACCGGCCGCTGGGTTGTGTGAGTCTCGGGGCCGGCGGCTCTTTGGACGGCGGCCCGCTCGCATGCGGAGGGCGGGCGCGGGGGCGCGGGCAGGCGGGGCGGCGGCGGGCACGGTTATTGCTCGGAGGGGGCGCGGACTGCCGCGAGCACGCGCCGCGGTGAGGTAAACGGCTCCGGGGCTTTGCGGGGCTGGCAGCCACGGCCTCCAGCCAACCTCCCACCCGGCGGCCGGCGTGCTCCTCGCGGATGCTCAGCGCCCCGCGGGACTCCTCGTGGACTCCAGCGCGTGCAGACCACACGCACGTCGAGGCTCAGTTGGCCCTGGGAGGGCCGCTCTGCGCATGCGCCTCGCGCCCTCGGACTGGTCTGGCCCTTGCGGGTGCAGGCCCTGCGCATGCGCCTCCTGTGTCTGTGCGCTTGAGACGTGGTGCGGTGCGCACGGTGGCCCCCGCCACCATCCAGAGACTGCTGTCTGGGGCCAAGGGCAGTTGAACGTGGTCCTCAGGAGCCCAAGGGCAATCTGCCACGCTTCCTCCAGTCGAGTTGGGGTCCTCGAGCCTCGCGACGCCCCACGCACCAAGCCTCGTGCCTGGAAGGGACTGTGCGCATGCGCACCTGGGGGCGGCGCGGCGACCTCGTCGCGAGGATGTGCGCCTGCGCATCTGGGCGGGCGCGGGCGTCGGGGACAGCGCGCGCATGCGCAGGGCCCCGCCACCGGGGTCCCAGCGCACGTGCGCCGGGAGTCGTGCCCCAGGTGTGTCCCGCCGCGGGGGCCCCGCGCGGCGTCGGCGAAGCTGACAAGTGGGCGCAGGGCGCGGGGCTTAGGCCGGGCTGTGGTCGGGGGACGTGGGCGCGGCGGCGGCCAGCGCGGGGACCGCGGCGACGGGTTGCACGAGGCGCGGCGGGAAGAGTCTGTCTTCCAGGCCTGCCGCCAGTTTGTCCAGCAGCGCGTCCGGGGCGTGGCGCACAGGCCTGAGCCGGGGCAGCCGCCGCCAGGCTCCTCCTCGATGGCGGGGATGGCGGGGGCGGCGGGGCGGCAGAGGCGGCGGTCGTCCGCGCGGCCGTCGGGCGGGCAGTCGACGCTGTCTCCGCGGCGCAGGGGCGCGCGCGTGGGCCGGGGGTCGGCGCCGGGCGGGCCGGTGGTCGCGGCGCGCGCCCAGGGTCGCTGTGCTGCCGGCCGCGCTGCGTCCACTGTTTGCGCGCGTGCGGATGCGCGCGTGCGCGGTGGCGCGCGGCGGCGGGGGCGCGTCGTCGAAGTGCGGGTCGTGGCGCAGGAACTCGTGGAAGAGCGCGTCCGTCTTCTCGTCGATGCTGTAGTCGCGGCGCGGGGCGCGGCGGGCCAGGCGCGCGGGCTGCGGGGCGGGCGGGCGCCTCCGGGGGCGCCTCGGGGGCGGAGGTCGGGCCACCTCGAAGCTGCTGCCCACTGTGGCCACGCGGCCGGCGCTGGTGAAGGAGGAGCGCTTCTCGGAGGCGCTGGGCGGCCCGTCGTCGCCCGCGCCGCGGCCCTCGATGCTGGCGTAGCCGCTGTCCATCTGCAGCAGCTTGCGCGGCCCGCCCGCCTCGCTGTCCGCAGGCCGCGGCGTGGGCGGCGGCGAGGGCGGCGGGAAGGCGGGCGCGGCGCCCCCGGAGCCCGAGCTGTCGCCGCTGCGCACGGAGTCGCGGTCGTTGCCGCTGCTGCTGTGGTCCGAGGCGGCAGCCGCGTGCAGCTCGAGCGAGGCGCGCAGGCTCCAGATGTCGTGGTAGATGGTCTGGGTCTGCTCCGGCCCCGCGTCCCGCTCGCCATCCGACTCCTGCTGCTGCTGCTGATGCTGCTGCTCAGGCCCCGCGCCGCCGCCGCCGCCGCCGCGCTCCGGTGGGGACTCGGGGCTCGCTCCTCCCGCGGCGCCCGCCTCCTCCGCAGCCTCTAACCTGCAAGCCAGGCGGCGGCCATCAGAAGGCTGTGCGCGCGTCCCCCCCCCTGCATCTGCTCCGCGGCCACCCCGCCTCTGGGTCGGGGAGGGTGGGCACGGGTGGAAACTCTCTGGGCTTGACTCGGCCTTGTCATAAGTTTTTGAAAATGCTGTCTTTTTTTGCAGGAGATGGTTTTTGGATAAACTTTGAACCCTCCTGGCACCTGCTTTTCAACTAGGGCGTGTCTTAAGGTGTCTAAGGGAAACACAGGCTGGCGCTGAAGTGGCTGGCCCCTGAGCCAGGGTTAACCTCTCCTTGGGAGCTGTCTCAGCGTGGGAGGACGTGGCCTGGAAGGACTGGACCAGATGGAGTCCAAGTTGAGGTTCATTTCATGCCCCATCTTGGATTGATAAGGAACCAGGCAGACCATACACAGAAGGCTTAAGTGCCCCACCCCACTGATGTGGACCCACAGCTTCAGAACAGTTGCCCTTGGGCTGGGGGGCGGGGAGCGGGCTGCTAGCAAAAGTGATGACAGCAGTTTCCGAGAAGGGGCTGTCCAGACCTCAAGAGCAGGGGCAGGCAGGAAGGGACCTGGGGCCACGGCACAGCCCTTCAGAACGTGGACCCCACCAGGAAGCGGCAGGACCCTGCTGGGCACACACCCCCAGTGGCCCTGCCTGGGGAGGCATCCGGCCTTAGGGACCCTGGGGCCATCCCGGGCCCTGCCCGCCCCCCTACCCTTACCCAGTCTCCCCCTGCCGCCTCCTCTGGTCCGTGCTGGAGAGGTGGCCCCAGCCAGGCAGCCTCTGGGGGGGACGGTGGAGCCGGAGGGACGAAACCGCCTGTCTGCAGGGCGGGGTGGGCGCTCCCTGGGCCTCCTAGGGGGAAGGGGGTAGGGCGGGAGCCCACGGGTCCAGCCCTAACACTTCTATCTACTGAAAAATACCTGCCAAGAGTGGGGGGCGGGCTGGTGGGGCTGGCCAGAAAGGGGCGGGGGGGCGGGAAGGCCACAGCGTCGCCCGCACTGGCGATGTACTGGATGAAATCCACTGGGGGGGCATCTGCGTTCTCCTGCTCCGTGCTCTCGCTGGCTGCCCGCTGCCGCTGGAAGTGGTGCCGCTTTGGGGAGCCTGTGCAGAGGAAGGCCGGCCAGCAGTCAGCCCGCCAGGGCCCTCCCAGCCCCGGGCTTAGCCAGGTGCCTGTGCACCCTGCCGTGTGGATGGAGAAACCGAGGCACAGAGAGCAGAAGGGCCAGAACCAAGGAGCTCAGAGGCCTGGGCAAATGAGTGAGTTGGAGTGAGGTACCAAGCTGCCCACAGTGGCCTTAGCAGACAGGTGTGGCTGGAGGAGCAGGGCCTTGCCCTGGACGCCCGGTGGCAGAAGCCAGAAGTCATGGGAGAGGCAGGGACAGGCTCCTGGGGGGCCAGTGAGGGGGAGAGGAGAGTCGCTCTACTGCCAGCACCACCCCTGCCGTGGGTCCCCTGGCCAGCGGCCAGGACCCTGGGACGGAGGCCTGGGAAGAGCCTGGGTGGGGAGGACAGACACCCCGCAAACAGGTTCTGGATCTGACTATAATCAGCCTTAGGAATCGCAGGCTCCGTCCTGGCTCTCACAAGGCAGGCGACAGGCCTCCCCTCCCTGGCCAGGAGCACCCCAGCCAGAGCTGACTGCCCGCCCTGTGCCGGAAGGAGCCGGGCCCCAGCAGTGGAGCAAGGTCAATGGCCACTCGTCATCTGTTTTCATCCCCTCTTCCGGCTCGGAGACCGTCACCTGCCCCACAGGCGGCCCCCTGCAGCCTGGCCCCACTGGGTCCCTTGAGTGGGTTACGGCTGTCGGTGCCCACCGCTCAGGCAGCCACCTCCCTCCCCACGCACGGCCCTGCCGGGGGCTGAAGATGAAGCAGCCCCGTGGCCAGAGGTTTGCAGAATTGCAGGGCTACTGTCGTTAGCCCACAGTGGGGCACACTGGGGCCCATGGGTCAAGCGGACCCCGACCTGTTGTAATCAAGTGCTGTTGGTACACGGCCCCGCGTTTACACGCCGTCGCCGGCTGCTTCCACGCTGCCGCGGCCGACGGGCTGTCTGACCACAACGCCAAGATGCGCTTCTGTCTGCCGCCTCATACAAGTTGAGCCTGGGGCGCAGCGTGTGGCCCGACCAGCCGAGACCAGACCCTGGGCAAGATGCCCGCCGGCCAGCACAGGGCAGGCACTGGGCCCCAGGAGAAGTGAGCTGTCCCATCCCTGCTGCAGGGCCGCGCCCTCCAGCCTCGCTCCCCACCGGGGGCTGTCGCTCACCTCTCGTGTCCAGACTGGACGCCCGCTGGCTGGGCTCCAGCTTCCACTTCTTGACCTTGAAGTAGGGGCTGGCCCCGTCTAGGCTGGCGTGGCGCCGCAGGCGGGTAAAGAACTGCAGGACTGGGCCGGCCTCCCCAGGCCCTGCTGCCGCCCCCGGCCCCGCGGGCTTGGCGCCCCTGGCACCCGAGTCCAGCTGGGAGGGAAGAGGGCCAGTCTCAGGCACGCAGGCCCCTGCCTGCTGCCCCAGGGCCGGCCCAGCCTGGGCCACGGCTTGGCATTATCGGAGCAGCTTTGGCCGGCTAGCTTCCCAGCGCCACCTCCCGTCACTCCAGGGGGTGGGGTGAGCAGGGGGCGACCCTAAGCCTGGGGACCGGGACAGGGAAGGGGGCTCACCGAGGGGCCTTCCCCAGAGTCGCTGGACACCGAGGGGCTGATCTCGAAGTCGGCAGGGCCCACGGCGGAGTTGTAGGGGTCACCTGGCAGGGCGGAGCTGGGGCCCACGGAGCGGCCAGTGAGGGCCTTCCCCGGGGGCTGTGGGACAGAGCCGGGGTGGGGGAGGAAGCAGTGACAGGTCAAAGAGCACGGGTGGGTGAGGGGGCATGCTAGGCCCGGCTGCCCGTGGTACCCCCAGCCGGGCCCCCTCCCCTCCCTGAGATGAGGAGCACAGCCGGCGGGACCGAGGGAAAGGGGCCACCCGCCCGGTGGGGACAGGGGCGGGGTGGGGTGGCTGGCCCGGCGAGCCCCCCATCTCACCTGGAATATGGCGAGGCTGGCCTTGGGGGTGGCCGTGGTGTGGGGGGTGGCAGCTGCACTGGCCTCGCCCGAGTCACACTCGTGGATGGTGACAATCTTGAGGGGCGGCAGGTGCAGGTGGGTGAGCCGGGCGTTCTTGAGGTGGTGGAAGTCCCCCTCCGTCAGGGTGTACCTGCGCCCAGCACGCCACCGTCACCTCGGACGGGCCCATCCTCCACCCACGGCCCCCCACTCTCCCCGGCCCCATCGTCCCGTGCCAGGTCTCAGGGGCAGGGCAGGACCGGGCCCCTGGCAGAGGCCAGCCCGCCCGTGAGCCCCGTCTGGGGTGGCACTCAGCCCCCGTGCCCCCCCACCCCCTCACCGGCGGCCCTTGTCATGTGTCTTCCGGCTCTGCTCAAACAGGGCGGCCTCGTTGAAGGACACGCGGCGGCCGGTGGAGCCGGTGGACAGGAAGCGTTCCGTCTCGGCATCCTGGCCCTCGGGGTCCTCCCCCCTGAAGTCAGGGTCTGCGAGGAGAGCCAAGAGAGGGTGGGCCCCGGGCGGGCCGCGCCGGGCGGGCTGCTGGGGGCTGGGTCGGGGACGGACCGCCGGGGACGGGAGGGGTGGGGGTGGGCACTCGCTCATCCGCTCACACACTCACTCGCTCGCTCAGCACGCGCCTGTGCGCACCTACGCGTGGGCGTTAAGGAAACAGAGATGAGTCGGAATCGAGCTGCGCCCAGTCTGGTGGGGGAGACAGACAGACACAGGTGGTCAGGCGGCCCGAGGGGGGCGGGCGGGCGGCTAAGGGTGGACGGGAGGCTGGGCAGGCAGGCGGGGTGGGGCCTGGATGGTGCCTCACCTGGGGCTGGGTGAGTGCCATTGTCCAGGTAGGTGGTGGTGGTCTTCTCTGCTTCCTCCACCGCTCTGGGGGGACAGCAGGAGAGCCGGTGGGCGCCAGGACCCAGGTGGCACCGCCCACGGGTCTGAGCTCCCAGAAGCCCACCTGCTCGGTCCCACCCGTCCTCCCAAGCATGTACACACCCGTTGCACTCGCACGGGTGTGCACCTGCTGCTCCAGCACGCAGGCCCCTCCCCCCCAGGCGGCGGGGGGCGGGGCCCGCACCTGTTGAGGCGCCGGTGGACCTCCCAGCAGCGCTTGCACAGGAGCAGCACGCCCGACAGCACCACCAGCGTGCCCCCGACGAACAGCGACATCACCACCACCAGCAGCACGTAGTTGTCCCGGATGGGGTCGGGCTCCGCCTGCGGGCGGCAGGGTCAGGGCAGGGCGGGGGCTCAGGCCTCCCCACCCGCCCACCCCATCCCCCTCACTCACAGTGGGGCGGCCGGTGGTGTTGTCCCACGTCGTGGTCAGGGCAGCAGTGGTGGCCGTGGTGGTGGCGGCCGTGGCCATGGTGGCTGTGGGCTGCATTTCCAGGCTCGAAGGAGGGGCCTGGAGGGGCAAGGCTTGCTCAGCTCCAGCTCCTCCGTCCCGCGCCCCCTACGGCCTCCCCAGGAGCGGGAGCCCACCCAGGGCAGTGGCTGGCGAACAGATCGGGGGGGAGCCCCGACGCAGCCCCCCTCAGGTCAGCGCTGAGCGCCGGGGCCTCCGTCTCCCCATCTGTAAAGGGGGGAGGTGCATGCACGTCAACTGCCTCCCCAGCCGGTGGGGCCGGCCCGGCAAGGTAGCGCGGGCCCAGAGCCCTGCCCAGGAAAGGGGAAGCGCCCCGGGGAGGAGTGGGGAAACTGAGGCCGTCAGCTCAGGCCTGCGGGGACCCGGGGCGTCCCTGGGGCCGCCCCCCGCGGGCGGGGCGGCGGGGCGGAGCGCCCTGATCCCGGGTCACGGTCACGACTCCGGGAGGTAAAGATCCCCCCTCCGCCGAGTGCTAGTGGGAGCGGAGAGGCCAAAGAAGGCGCATCTGTTCCCAGCCCTGAAGAATCCGGTTCCCATGGCGACGAGCGGCGGGCCGAGCTGGGGGGGGCGGGTTGCCAGGGAGCCGGGGGGAGGGGATGGGGGAGGGAGGGCGAGGGGAGGGGAGGGGAGGGGGGAGGCCTCCTGCAGGACGGCGGGCCGCCCCGGGCGCAAGATGGCTGCGCCGCCTCCCCGCCGGTGCCCAGCGCGGCCGGCCTCCGCGCCTGCCTTCCGCCGGGGGAACGGAGGCCGGGGAGGGGCTCGGCCCTCGGGGAGGGGCTCCCGGGACGCTGCACCTGAGCGCCTCCCCGGAGCCCGGCTCCTCGCGGCGGGAAGGCCCGGGGGCGCTCCGGAGCCTCCGGGAACAGAGCGCGGGGCCGGGGCGACCACCAGCCCTGCGTCGGCACGGCGCGCGCGCGGTCCTTCCCGGGGAAAAGGGAAAGCCCGTACACAGGCTGCAGCGTCCCCAACGCTTTCGGGCTTTGACCCCACTCGACAGCGGGGCAAACTGAGGCCCAGAGAAGGGGGGGCGCTCCCGGCGAAAGCCAAGTGTCCTCAGCGCTCCGGGTCAGGGGCTGGCCGCGGCTACCCCGGATCCTCGCGGGGAGGAGGCGCGCATATGTAGGTCGGGAAATGAGTACAGGCTGCAGGGGAGGAAGCAGGGACGATGACAGGGGAGCAGGAAAGATGGCAGGACACCGAGCAGGAAGAGAGGTGGGCTCTTGGGGGTGGGCGGGGACGGCAGCCGAGGGCGGAGGTTCCCCACGGGCCGGCCCCCGATCCAGCGAGGCCTCCCTCGGCTCCCAGAGCAAGCTCGCCACCGCGCCCAACCGCGCGGCCCCAACCGGCCCGGGGGCGGGGATGGCGAGCGAGGAGAGGCGGAGAGCCCGCCTCCGGGCGCATCGCGACCTCGGGCTAAGCCAGGAGGCGGAGACGCCATCGCCCTGGCTGGATCTCACGGCGGGGAAACTGAGGCCCGGGGAGGGCGTGGGCGGGGGGTCTCTCTCCCGGCCGCCGAGGGGGGATGCTGAGCCCCGCGGGTTGGCCCCCACGCCCGCCTCGCCTCTTCCGCTCGCTGCCTCCGGCCTCGCCGCCTCACGGGGCGAGGCCGGGGGTCCCGAGCCAGAGAGGGTCCCGGAGCCGACCGCGCTCCCCGCCGCGCTCCCCGGGCCGCCCCCCGCCCGCCCCGCTGCAGCCCCGGGCCCGCCGCGCCTACCTCAGCGCCGGGGCGCGCGGCCCATGGGCGGCGGGCGGGCGGCGGCGCGGCGCTCCCGGCTGGCTCCGGCGCCCGGTGGCCGCGGAGCGGGCGGAGAATTTATGAATGGAGAGCGCGGCGCGCGGGGGAGGCGGGCGCGAGGGGAGGGGCCGCGCACGTGACCGCGTTGGCGGCGAGCCCGCTCGGACCCGCTCGGTGCTGCCGGGTCCCCGGCCGGCCGCCCCCACTGCGCTCGCCGCTGCGTCTGGCTCGCTCGGCGCCGGCCACCGCCTCCCCTTCCCTTCCGGCGCGGGCGGGGGGCGGAGCCTGCGCTCCGGGGCGCCCCCTCCCCACGTGGAGCCGCCCTCTCCCGCGGCGGCTGAATCTCCGCCCCCGGCCCCCGAGGCACGACTCCCGACCCTTCCCGGTCCCCCGGGGCCGGGGCACGAGCGCGCGCTCTGGGATGCACGACACCCCCAGCCCGGGGTCCTGGGGTGCGCTGACGACCCCTCCTACGCTTCGCCCAATCCAGGGGTCCCCAGGGTGCACAGCGCAGGGCGTCGGGGCTCACCATGCGCCCTGCCTTTTTGGGACGGGCAAAGATAACAGCACACAAGCTGTGTTGAGTGCCGCTAGGGCCCTCCCCGCGCCGGCTGACATGAGGACTAGGTCCCCGCCAGAAACCGCACGCCCTGTCAACCCCCAAAGCTGCTGCCCCTTCTTCCTCTTGGACGATCGTGCCTCGTCCTTCGAGATGCTTAGGCCGCCAACCTGCCACCAGCCTGGTCCAGGTTCCTCCCAGTCGGCCTGGGCCTGTGCTCAACACCCCCAAACGGCACCCCTTTCTCCCCTAGTGAAAGCCAACACTGCTCAGCGAATGCCCGAGGCCCAGTTCAACCTCAGGGCCTTTACGCCTGCAGGTGCTGAGCCGGGTCGGCTCTTTCCCTACCCCGCCTCCATTCCCTCCCTTGCCTCCTTCAACTCTGTCCCAAATGGCAAAGTCTCTGGCGTCTTTTCTTGGCTGCCTTTGCCAACCGGGCAGCTGCCCGCCATCCCCCGCCGTGCACTTTGCTTCTCTTCGTGGCCCTGCACGTTATCTATGTTACACACTCCTGTGAGTTGTGTCCCTACTGACCCCTGCCTCCCCCTACACGGTGAGCTCCAAGGGCGGCCGCACAGGTTACACTTCTAAAGGATGGCAAGGGGCAGCTGAGTGGATAAACACCCAGGAAAGTCGGCTCTGAGCGGGTGGGAACTGCATGTGCAAAGACCCTGAGGTAGCAAAGTGTGTTTGCAGAAGATCAACGCGTCGGAGGGAGCACAGGAAACCATCTGTGGTTCCCAGCCGGGGCAGAACATGGTGGTGAGGTGAGGCCAGGCCAGGCAACTGGAGCCACCCAAGCCCCAGTGATGGCAGCAGCAGTGGACGAGCTGGGTGGGTCCACCGAATTGCAGGGTGACCCCCGGCTTGGGACTCGAAGAACCACCCTGGAACGGGGATGCGAGAGAAGCCGGCCAACGCATGGGTTTGACGCCTCCATAGGGGTCCGGGGCTGCGCCCAGGACGCGCGCCCAGGAGCTCGAGTGGGGCTTCCCGCGCCCCCCGGACCAGGACGCCGAGGGCATTGGGGCTCACGCCCCGAGCGCCCCTCACGGGGCCGGCCCCGAGCGGGCGGGGGTCTGCGCGCCAGGCCCGGGCCTCGGGCGGCCGCGTGCTGGGAGACAGGAGCGCGGCCAGCGCCTCGGGGCCGGGCGGTGAGCTGGGGCGCACGCGGCCCTGCGGTCGGGGGGCCGCCGCACAGCACCTGCGCCCCCCCACCCCGCCGCCGCCAGGTGAGCCCCGCGCGCCCCGCCCCGCGCAGCCCGCGCTCCCCGTTTCGCGGTGCCCGAGGTGGGGGCGGGGGCCCGGCCCGGCACGCCGACCTGCGTGCGCGCGGGGGCGGGGCGGTGACGTCAGCGCCGCGAGCGAGGCTGCGCGGGCCGCGGTGACGTCAGCAGAGCCCCGGGCCGCCCGCGCACGCGCACCTGCGTCAGCGGCGCGCGGGGGCGGGGGCCGGGCGGGGCCGCGGCGAGCGCATCCCCGGGCGCGGGGCGCCCTCTGCCGGCACCCGCGGGGGCTGCAGCCGAGCCGTGCCCGCTCCGCCCGGCGCTTGGCCGGGGTGGACCGGACTCCGCTTGGGATGCGCGTCCCGGGGCGCCTGCACCTGCTTCATCGCAGCGTGTCCCGTCCCGTCCCTCCGCTCTGCTTCTTTTTTTTAGGACTATTTGTCACTTCCTAATAGGCTATAGGATTTGCTTACTTATTACTTCGAATGTCCGTTAAGCGCCCCCACCACCCAAAACCAGAGCAGGAATCTTGACATTTCCCTGATGCAGGTCTCTCCAGGGCCTGGCATCCAATGAGCGCCCCCCAAGATTCTGCATTCAACTCAAGTGTCTCTTCCGCACAGGCTGCTGGTTCTCCCCATGCAGAACCGTCTAACCCACCTCCCGCCAGACCACCAGGCTGGGAGCCGGAAGGAAACTACAACCCCCAGCATGCCGCGTCGTCGTCGTCAGCGTCGCGCGCGGCCCGCCGGGAGTCGTAGTTCGCGGCTGCGCTCTCGTCCGGACTCCTTCTCCCAGACGTCCCCGCGCGTCGTCCTGCTCGCCCTCCAGGCCGTCCGCGTCCGGTCCGAGTCCGCCCGCCGCTGCCGCCGCCGCCATGCTGCCCGCCGCGCTGCTCCGCCGCCCCGGCCTGGGCCGCCTCGTGCGGCAGGCCCGCGCCTACGCTGAGGCTGCCGCCGCCCCGGCCCCCGCCGCGGGCCCGGGACAGATGTCCTTCACTTTCGCCTCCCCAACGCAGGTTCGGACGCCGGCCGGGCTCGGGGCCCCGCCATGGCCGCCGCCCCTTTCCGGACCCGGAACCCGGACCCTCGTCCCCCCACCCCTGCCCGTGTGGTCCCGGATCCGAGCCCCCAGCCCCAGGGTCACCGCCCCCCATTCCAGACCCGCGCCCTGTGCCCTTCCCCCGTGCAGTCCCAAATCTGAGACCCCCAACCTCGCTGGTCACCGCCCCCCATTGCGGACCCGTGCCCTGTGCCCTTCCCCCGTGTGTTCCCGAATCTGAGACCCCCCCCCCACCCGCCCGGGTCACTGCTGCCCATTCCGGACTCGCCTCCTGTGTCCTTCCCCCGTGCGGCCCCGAATATGAGATCTCCCAAACCCCCTGATCACTAGCCCCCCATTCCTGACCTGTGTCCTGTGCCCTTCTCCCCTGTGGTCTAGAATCTGAGGTTTCCCACCCCATCCCTGGGTCACTGACTCCCTTTCCAGACCCCCACTCCCACCTGCTATGTGGTCCAGGATCCAGCGTCCCAACTTCGGGGTCACTGCTCCTGTTTCTGCTCCTCTGTCTGTGGTGCAGGATCTGATTTCCTTAATTTCCGGGTGACCGATCCCATGCTTTTCCCCCGTGTGGTCTCAAATCTGAACCTACCAACACTTAGGTTGCCGCCCCCCATTCCAGACCCGGTCTTTCGTCCTTCCCACATGGGGTCTGGAGTCCGAAATCCTGGAATTTCCACTTGGAACTCCACACCCCAGGGCCGGGGCAGGTCCAGAGCCTCTGCCCCTCTCCCGAGAGCAGGTCCTCCTGGGTTGGCACCCTGTGCTGCTTGTGTCCTCGCAGCGCGCGCCTGTGAAGGGGCTGGGGTCACTTGACTTCCCCACCTTCTTGTGGACAGAGGGTCTCGGGTGCCATCCAGAGAGCAGAAGCCGAGCGCCCGCCCCAGCGCCCCGTTCTCCCCCCACCTGGCCCGTTTCACTGCAGGGAAACTGAGTCCAGGCTGCAGGGGCCTGGCCTGCGGTCACCCATTGCCCGTGTGTCCTCCTCAGGTGTTCTTCAACAGCGCCAACGTCCGGCAGGTGGACGTGCCCACGCAGACGGGGGCCTTCGGCATCCTGGCCGCACATGTGCCCACCCTGCAGGTCCTGCGGCCGGGGCTGGTGGTCGTCCACGCTGAGGACGGCACTACCTCCAAGTACTTTGGTGAGTGGAGTGCGAGGAGGGGGCTGAACCAGGCCAAGGCAGGGTCCATGTGTCACTTGAGGCCACAGCGAGAAGCCAGCCAGAGGCACTGCGCGCGGCCCAGTCTTGGCTGCGGTTGAGTAGCGTGTCGCGGGGGGAATGGGCGCCAGGAGGAGAAGTAAAGCCTCGTGGGGGGGCTGGTTTGAGGAGGAAGGAAGCCCGTGCGGGAGGAAATGCTCTGAGAAGACCTTGCTCCAACTTCTCGTTCCCAGCCTAGGACCACGGTGTGAAGCCGGGTCTCTCACCCCTGACCCTGACTCAGCTCGGGGACTAGTGCGTGAAGGGGGGCTCTGCTCTCTCCGGATGTCAACTCCCAGTGCCGGGCCCCAGGGCCACCCTGTGGGGCTGCTCTCCTGGTTCCAGGGCTGACCTCGTCCCAGGTGGACGTGGAGCCCTCACTCCTGCTTGTGCCCTCGCAGTGAGCAGCGGCTCGGTCACCGTGAACGCGGACTCCTCAGTGCAGCTCTTGGCCGAAGAGGCCGTGACACTGGACATGTTGGACCTTGGGGTGAGTGTCCCCAAGGGTGAAACTGAGGCATTGAGCAGGCGGGAGCTGCGGGAGGGCTCCCAGGATGGGGGAGGGGTGGGCACCAGGCCCGGGTCTGCTGGGCCCTCACCCGCCACCCACCCCGTGCAGGCCGCCAAGGCGAACTTGGAGAAGGCGCAGTCGGAGCTGTCAGGGGCGGCGGACGAGGCCGCCAGGGCCGAGATCCAAATCCGCATCGAGGCCAACGAGGCCCTGGTGAAGGCGCTGGAGTAGGCGGTGCGCGGTCCTGGCCTGCAGGGACCCCGAGGCTGGCGCTGGGTGGGGGCTGCTCTGGGTTGGCAGAACCAGCTTCTGCAGGTCTAGACTGGGTGCTGGGGGGCGTCCTTACAGAGGAGGCCGCCAGGGGGCAGCGCAGTGCCGGCGTCTGCCCCAGGAGCACCCACGGGGCCCCATCCCCTGGCCCAAGTGGGCGGGCGTGGGGGTGAGCTCAGAGACTTTGCCCTGCCCTCGGAGGGGCTGTCACCCCGGGGGCTCTTCTCCCGTCTCCCAAGATCCCCCAACCTGACCCACCGCTGCCACCACCCCTCCTCTCTGGCTGCCCCATGGGACAGCCGGCCCCGGCCCGCGCCCCCATTAAAGACCTGGGACCCGCCTCGTGTGCGCTGTTTCTGTCTCCTGCGGGGCCGGTGGGTGTGGGACCTGCCTGGCCTCTGCCCAGCCCTCGCGTTCTCTCTGAGGTTGGGCAGTAAATGCCAGCTCAGCCTCGGAGGACCGGGGAGGTCCTTGCGGGGTCTGCAGTCAACTGCGGACTGGAGGTTTCGGGGTAACAGCCAGTGAACCAGGCCGGGTAGTGGTGGGGTGCTGGCCTTCACCCCGGAGTCTGTGGATGGGTGAAGGCGCCCGCCAGGCCTGGGGGCAGTGGGGGGTGTGGCCGAGCTCCTGGAAGGCCACCTGGGGCTCCGCCTGCCTGGGAAGGGGCAGGTCCTGCCTGCTCCCACGGAGGCCCGCCCTGCACTTGCTGGCCGTGGGTGGCCCGGGCTGGCTAGCCGCCCATCCCTGGTGGTGTTGGCACCTCCGTGGCACCCATCCCCTGGGCCTGCCCCAGATGGGGCGGGGCGGCCGGGCGGAGGCGGCCCTGGCCTGGCGAAGCCCCAATGCTGCCCACCTCACTTTTGCAAGCATCGGGGTGGTCCGGCGTTGGCTCCATGTTCCAGGTGGCGGGCAGGGGCTTCAGGGCAGGAGTCTGAGCCCAAGCAGGGCCAGCTGGGGATTCCAGGAGGGTGAGTGTGTGGGATAGCCAGGGCCTCCCTGTGTGTCACTGGCAGCCAGGAGGTGACGGGGAGGTCACCGCAGGGCATGTCAGCACGGTTGGGGCGTGCACTCGTGTGTCACGGTCCCATGTGAGTGACTGTCCCATGGCCGCATTCAAGGGTCCACACGGTGGAAGGTGTGAGTGCCGAGGCGTCCAGGCAAGCTGGTAGCTGCTGGGCATATCTGTACAGGCTCCCCTTGCTCCTCGCCAGCAAGGCCCAGGCAGCTGGCCTCTACTTCCCCAGGAAGGCCACAGGGTCACAGGTGCAGCCCCACCCCTCCATGTCCTGGGCTCGGAGCCTGGGTCCTAGAGTTGTTGGCCACCCCAGGTGCTATAAATAAGACCAAGGACGTAGTGAGGGGGGCGGGGGACATCCTCACCAGGCGGCTGGACCAGTGTCCCCAAACCAGGGACCCCCTGCCTGCACCCTCGTGCCCTGAGGGACCTCAGCTCTTGGCTGGGGAAACAGTCAGGCTCAGGACGCCCCCCCCCCCCCAGCACAGTGCAGCGCAGGCCCCTGGGGAGCTGTGAGCCTCAGGGACAGCCGTGCCTCACTCGGGCCCGCGGGAACAGCCCGTGCTGGCCTGGCCATGTCCTGGGGCAGGAGGGGCCCAGGGTGGGGCAGGTCACAGGGCCAGGAACAGGGGGTCATGACCTGTTCTGCCAGGGCAGGCCGCTGCCCAAGGCTTCCCCCCCTCTCGGGAAGGGGGGGTCCCCTCGTGACTTTTGTGTGCTCACCCTGGGACTGCGCACTGGAGCGCAAGGACACCAGACAGGAAAGAAAGCAGGAAGCTGTCGACTTAGCAGGTTTATTCGCAGGCCCCGCAGAGGCAGGCAGGCCCCGGGCCTCCTGCAAGCGGCCCCCACCAAGTGCGACAGGAGGGCCCCCCTTCGCTGCCACCAGAGATGCAAGGTCTCAGAGCCCCTTGAGGTCACACAGCTCTGTCCTCCCCGCCTGACCTTAACCCTGGCCCCAGCACCCCCGCGGCTCCGGGGGCCCCTGCAGCTTGGACGTGCTCCGGCTCCAGGGCCCACGGCTCCGGCTGGAAGCGGAGCTGACCGGCCCCGTGACCCCGTCTTGTGTGCTCCCTCAAACCTCCGAACTTTGCACCGGCTGTTCTTGCTTCCTGGAGCACCTCCATCTTCGCCTGGCAAACTCCTATCCACCCCTCAAGCCCTGCCCTGGTGACCCCCTCCCAGGGGCTCGCCCGGAACCTACAGCGCTGGGAGTGTCTGGGTGTGCCGGTATCAGGGTGGGGGGCTAGACACTGCCGGAGCGTTGGGTGGGAGCAGGATGGAGGCCTGGAGAGGAACACAGCCCTGGGAGGGGCCGGGGTGGGGGTGGGGTGGTCAGGCCAGATAAGAAGAGACCAGATAAGCGGACAGGGGTGGGGGAGTAGAGCCTGGGGTCCTCCTCTGGGCAGCGCCCCCACCCTAACCATAGTCTTCCTCCGAAAGCCCCCTGCCCAGGGCAGCCCACAGGGAGAAACAGGACAGGCCAGGTTTCTGCTGTCAATGGCTGTGTGGCCTCAGTTTCCCCATCTGTAAGATGGGTTAGGGTGACTGTGTCCACCCTGGAGGCTGGGTGCCAGCCTGTGAGCTTCCATTAATGAGTGATGAAAATGTCATTGAGCCTAGGTGAGGGTCCCACGCCCCCATGCCCCAGAGCCAGTCCTCTTGATTCTGGCACTACATCCTACAGCCCCTGCTCCCCACAAAGAAACAGGCTCAGAGAGGCCAATGACCTCCCAGCTCACACAGCACAGCGGGTGACTAGCTGCACACGGCAGGCCTGGCGCAGGTTAGTCGCTCCAAAAATGCCCTCTGAGGTCAGCGTTAAGGGATGCAGGAGGCCAGGCTGCCGGGCAGCTGGCCCGGGCAGCCCCACTCCAGGCAGGTGACTCCGGCCTGTTTTCCTGGACCACGGCCGCTGACTCAGGACCCCTTTCCCGCCCCCCCACGCGGAAGCACCGGGCCTGGGAGGGCAGGAAAAGGGGGTGGGGCAGGGAGCCGACCTGTGCGGTCCGAAACCCCGTCCCGGGGACCCCGACACGGGTGCATCCGAGGCGACGCGGGCGGCTGTGACCCCAAGTTCAGCCGCATTCAAGGAGCGCCCCCCTTTTGCACGGGCGAGGCTTGGGGGGCGGGCAGCCCAGGCCCCGCGGCGCCCCTGGGCCCTGGCCCGCAGGCAGGGGCGGGGGCCGGCCTGCGTCACCGCCCGCCCGGCCCCCCGCCGCCTGCTCGCCCAAACTCCACCCCGAGGGAAGGCGGCGCGGATAAAGGCTCGGGGCCGCCCGATCTGCCCCAGACCGGCCCCGCCACCGCGCGCTCGGCCCGGACGTGGGTTCGCTCGGGACCGTGGGGACCTCGGACTGGCTGCGCCCGGTGAGTGCGGGGCGGAACCTCGAGGCCGAGGAGGGGGCCTCCGCTCCAGGCTTTCAGCGCGCCCCACTTTTCTTTGTTCTCGGGGCAGGCAGGACGCGGGGTGTCTCCAGTACCGGGAAGCCCCCCGGAGCGTGGGGTGGGAGGAGCTCGTCGCAACCGACACTGCCCCGGCGGGACCTCAGCCCCCGCCCCGCCCCCCCGGGCACTCCCCCTGCCCGCGAGTGACCTTGAGCCAGTGGCCGCTCGGCCTCAGTTTCCCCAGCCGTGCAGCCCGTCTCCTGACCCAGAGGTCAGCCGCTCGGAGCGAGGCGCCCCCACGCCCGCAGCCCCGGCGGCCTCCCCCCGCCCCGGGCAGCCCCGCGCCCCCTCCCCGGCGTCCGGGCCGCGCTCCCGGGCGGGGCCGGCAGAGGGCGCGCCGGCGCTGCTGACTCACCGCAGCCCCGAGCGGAGCGGCGTGCGGACGCAGCCGGGGACGCCGCGTCACGTCACGGCTCAGGCGGGCGCCACTCGGGAAGCGGGCCGACCCGCGGGACGGGGGTGGGACGCGAGGTGGCCCCGGCGCGGGAGGGGTCCTCCCGGCCCGGGCCACGTCACCGTCGTTGGGGTGGCAGGCCCCGCCCCTCGCCGGGATCTCACGCCCCCTCCTCCCCGGGTGGGGGCGCCGGCCCGGCCGACCCTCCCGCGAGCCGGCCCGCCGGGGCCCGGCCACGAGGCGCGGGGATCGCCTCCCGCTTCCGCTCGCGGCGGCTTCCCGGACGGGCGCGGGGGGAGGCCCCGCGGCTTCCTGCCCCTCCCGGCGCGGGGACCACGCCGCCCCTCGCCGCGCCGCCCGGACCGGGGTCCCGCGCCCCCGGCCGCCTGCTCGCCCGCCCTTTGTTACGGGCGCCCGGCCTTATGAATGGCCCCCGGCGCGGGCGGGGCGCGGGGGCGGGCGGAGCGGCGCCAGCCCCGCCCCCGCCGCGCGCTGCTTGGCCGCCGGGCGAGGGGCGGGGCGAGGGGCGGGCCCGGCGGCCACGTGGGGCAGCGCCGCGGCGGCTCCCATTGGCCGGCGCTCGCGGCCGACTCGGCGTTCGGCGCGCGCCCATTGGTCGGCGCGGCGCCGACGGAGTAAGTAGTGAATGGGAGGGGGCGGCGCCCCGCCCCTCGGAACGTTGATACATTATAACTTTTTTTTCTTGTTACTTTCACCCCCAGATCCTCGGAGCGGCGGCGGCGGCGGCTGTTGCTAAGGAAGGGGACGCGCCGGGAAGCGCGGCCCGAGCGGCGGACGGCCCCGAGCGCGGCCAGCCGAGCGGCGCCCCCTCCTCCGGGACCCTCCCCCGCGCCCGCCGCGCCTCGGCCGCCCCCCGCCGCCCTTGAAAGGAGCCGCGAGCGCAGTCCGCACCCTCGGAAGGCGCCCCGACGAGCCGACGCGACCCCGGAGCGCCCCTCGGATTTCTGATTCCTGACTTGCCTTCCGCTCCTGGGACTTTCTCGACGGGGACGCGCGCTGCCCCCCGCCCCCAGGGACCCCGAGGATCCCGGTTTGGGGAGCCCCACGCCCTGCCCGGAGGCGCGGCGAGGATTGGCGGCGCCCCGCGGACCGCAGCCCCCCAGCGCGGGCCGGGGATGGAGCCGCAGCCCGGCGGCGCCCGGAGCTGCCGGCGCGGGGCCCCCGGCGGCGCCTGCGAGCTGGGCCCGGCGGCCGAAGCGGCGCCCATGAGCCTGGCCATCCACAGCACCACAGGCACTCGCTACGAGCTTTCGGTGCCCCCCGACGAGACGGTGGAGGGGCTGCGCAAGCGGCTGTCTCAGCGCCTCAAAGTGCCCAAGGAGCGCCTGGCGCTGCTCCACAAAGACACGTAGGTACCGCGCGCCGCCCCGGCCCCCGCGCCCCCCGGCCCGCCGCCCCCTCGGGCCCCGGCCCCCGGGCGGGAACAAAGAGCGCGCCGCTCAGGGAAGGAAGGGGGCGGCCA